TTTATTCCGTTTGCACGGACGGCAAAGTTCTCACAGCCGAAAAAGCAGTCTCGTAGTGTTTGTTTGATTCGCAAGCACTCGACTTAATCCTTTTCCGTGTTTACTTTCCCAGCTCGGCTTTTCGTTGGTATATACGACGAGTTTTATCGCGGATGCATTTGGGACTCAGCCAAGGTGTGCGCTATAAAGGATCTTCAATTTCACAAATTCGAATTAAACTCTTTTCCACTGTATTTTCAGCGAACCATGATAATTGTTATATCTCTATTATCACATATCGTGGCAATAATATCTCCATATCGTAAAAATATTATAGAGCAAAAGTAGGCGATCAGTGAACAATTGATGATAAGCAGAGATAAAGCTCTTGTAATTATATCAAAATGATACGCACTGTGTGCGTATGATGGGCATAATTTGTTATGATAATGAGAAAAAGATTCGGCCACACAATTGATCGAAATTATTGCGATCTCTCTAAGTAATGTAATATTAAAGTGAGCTCTCGTGGCGAGGAGAGACTTCCGATTAGCATAATCGCTGGCATAAAATTCACGATGTTCGTATATCGATTAAGATCGACCGATCTGATCCGCAATGATTCAGCTACAGCCGCATCTCTACGGAGCACCGCGAGTGAAGCAACTGTCGTCGTCAGCTCGAGATTAAACTCGATAATATTCGCGAATTACCATACTATGCTTTCGCGTAACGAATGGAGATAATTAAGCGTTTTACCGTGGGCTTTCGCCAAGCGGTTTCGTATGCCGCAGATGCTGCGAAAAAAAGATACCGCGGGATTAAATTACGCGGCCGAGGGATTTCACGAGGGATTTCGCGTTACGAATTTTCTATATAGTAAAATATATATTGTATAAAATAAACCGCGCGTAAAATATTTAAAATTATAATTATAAATTACGTAAAAATCGTAATTAGGAATCGTGATATATATATATATATATATATATATATATATATATTGTTCATATTTCATATTTCAAATTTTCCTTCCTTCCTGTAAAAAAAAGCTGTGCTTGTTTAGAATAATAAAAGAAGAGATTTGGAATTTTTCGCGTAAAAAAACTATGTCAGGATGTATTCGAGATATAGAATGTAACACGATAGAGTGTTATTTCGGCTTGGCACGTAGCGTACGACGTGTTTTCCAAAGTTTCTCGTGCTCGTACGAAGCGGGTGTCGCACGGAATCGCTCGAAACATCAAAATCGCTGGTTGGACACCACTATGCGTGCAACTCCAGTAAATCTTTCGTTCCCGCGGGATATACCCGGTAGAAATCGCAATCCGCAATTCCTGACGTAGTAGTTCATCGAGTTCGCTCTCGGTTCTTGCAAGAAAGTGCACGCATACCAGAGCGAACGGCGGCGGCAACGAGTGCATGTGCTGCCGACCGCGTTGCGGTCTCGTCGGTTGCACGTAAACTCTTGCGCGCGTTTATGCGTGCTGACATTATGTATGAATGAAAGAGCGACGGACGGAGGGAGCCGCGGGTGTTGTGTGCATACGTGCATACGGGCGATCGAGAAATATACTCAGCCGCGAGTAAGGGTATACGAACGCATAAACGTGCTTGTACGTGCACATACATGCGGCTCGCATCAACGCGACTCCTTCCTCGTTTGCTTCCTTTCATGTAGGTACGAGTTGAGAAAAGCAAAGGAAAATTTAATAATGTCTCAAAAATTCTCCCTTCTTCTTTCTAAACTACTTTCCTTTCCTTAATACTGTATTTTGGATGATAAAAAATTAAAATTAGAGATTTATTCGATTTCGATTGTAACGATAATACGACGTACCAATAAATTTGTGGTTTATTTCTTCCCCCATCCCCGATAAATAATATCGATACTCTATCGATCTGAGCATCTGGAGGCATCGACAAGCAAGGTGGGTGCGGCGGAGAAAGAAGACACGATTCATGTAGAGTGAATAAGGAAAAAAGACGAAAGCATAGGGGACGATCGGGGCCGGAAGTGGTTTCATCTGGCTCCCCCGTTGGTCTGACCTGTTGAACCACCTCGTGACCGGAAGTACACTGTACAGCTACGGGCACCTCCACTCTCTTTCGCTCCCAGTCCTTCCTTCGATGCACAACGCGGTAAAGAAAACAACAAAGGCTTCTTTCTGCATACCGACAACTTATCACTATGTTTACCTGATTACACGACCCTGTGTGTGATTCTTTTACCTTTTCTGATTTTACCAAGGTGGTGATTTTGTTCCCACCTCCAATCTCCACGATTTTACATTTTCCTTCTTTTATCTTCAAATGTTTTTACAGCGGTAAATTTCAAAACGAAATAATTACTTTTTATAATATAAATTCGATTTTTAATCGCGAAAGAGATTAATGCTTTATTTATTTGGCAGAAAGCCAGTGATCTCTTCGATCTCGAATTAATCAATCTTAAAAATATGGTTCCCCTCTTCGGAAGGGCTATAAACATATCGAGGGGAGTCTTATTAACAGCGGCGCAGATTTATTAGCTGCGACGGCTGCGCAGCACTTGGCATGCAGACCTGCGAAATTCGGATGGAGGTGAGATAGGGGTGAGCCGGAGGGACGATTCCGCCGCTAACTAACAATGAGGGAAACGTGGATACGTAGCCAAGACAGGTCCAGGCTATTGTATCCCCAGTACAATGCCTGCAGCCGGGGAGCAGTATACGCGCCATAATAATCTGTCACCCTATGTAACATCGATGCGTATGCTGCACAATACGCGCTCTCTGGCCGAGAGAGAAACGGAGGAAGAGAGAGAGAGAGAGAGAGAGAGAGAGAGAGAGAGAGAGAGAGAGAGAGAGAGAGAGAGAGAGAGAGAGAGAGAGAGAGG